TACATATTTTTAAGGTCTTATTAGAAAATCTCGTTTCTCAATTTTTGTATTCAGTTTTGAAATATGAACAGGTTTTTACCAATTTAAAAATAGGTTTTAAAGCCTATTTAAACCCAGAACTCGCGTCCCAGAGAAAAATGCTATATAAGGTAAGATACCAGAAATATAGAAAAAATGTTAAAAACAAAAATCTATAAAAATTTCGAAGTTATGAGAGTTTAAATTTTGCAATTTGACTCTATTTATTTCTGTTGGAAAAATAATTTTTCAAATTTTTTTTGTTAAATGCTATTAGAAGAGGAAACAAGGAAGCTATATCCTAAATTGTAACTCTCTTCAATGTTATTTGTGGCTTTTATTGGCAAATTTTTTGTAACTTTACTACAAAATTGTAAAAAAACATACAAGATCATCAGTAGGTATCATTAAATAGACATAAAAAATGTCAAAACATTTTTTTCATGTTCCTGGTATCTTATCTTACATGAAATTTTTCTCTGGGGAGTTCTGACGCACCCTGTATATATTAGATGGTTTACTTTAAGAAAGACTGATTTAAGTAAATATAAAAAATAGCATTTGATTATTTTTATTAATTTTTGTAATGAAATTTAACATAAAAACCCATTTTAAGCTTTGTTATTGTTTAGTATATGATAATACAGATGTAATTATGTTGCTTTCATCAATCTTTGGATCATTTAAAATATTTGGGGTTTTTTATTTATTTTATAAATGAAGAAATGAGTTTTCTGTTTGAATTAATCTACCTGATGAGTGTTGGGCTTAGAACCCTCCACATCTGGATAATTAAGAGGGTGCACACCCGTGTCTAATTTCTCCCAATCGAGTGTTTTCTCCCCCGCTATCCGACTGTTTTCATTGGAAACGATTCAATTTACCGAAGCGAATTGTGTTTGAAATTCATCATTTGCATTAACTGTATTTTTGCAAGTAAGAGAGAGTCCTATCGTGAGATATATATTTTCTTGCAACACAATACCGACTCCTGTGCATTTCAATCAACACAATTTCCGCGACTCAAGTTTATTTGTCATTGTGTGAAGTTTTATACTGCACTCACAGATGGCCCAGCCTCCATTAAATGAACACAATGAGGCTTTCATCTGGATTAGCGCAACTCTCCTGAGACGAGCTTCGTATATTTGTTTTAAAGTTTCGACAAATTAAAAAAATCGGGTAATTTTGAAGAAATTCGCGCAAAACCGCGATAGGAAAAACCTGGAACATGAGATGATTTCAATACACCCATGACATAAAACGACTATTATTGTCATCAGTATCGGAACTGAATAACGTAAAAGCTTCTAGAATGAGCTTTGTTCTTTGCAGCTATAGGAAGAAATGTAAAAGTCATATAACAGCGAGCTTTCGTTAGAAAAGCTCTATTGTTATGAGCGCGCGTTCTCTAGAGATTCAAAATAAGAAAGCACTGTGGCTGCTATTTTCTGAAAAGAATGTCGATGCATTCATGACGACTATTTGTCCCCATCTTAACAGAAAATTATCTCAAAATAATACCAGCTGCAAACAAATATTGCGCGGATACCTTTCATTTGCAACCGCAAAAAAGCAACGACAGAAATTATTTATTCATATTTGGTAAAAAAATACAATAAGTACAAATGCAGTACAAAATTTTTGGACAGTGAATTTTGATATGTGATTCTAAATTTTTTAGCCCCTTGTATTTGGGTGTCTTGAGTTATTTATTGTTAATGTTTAAAATGTTTCGGTGGTGGGAAAGGAAAAATATTCCTTCTTTCACTAATGTTTCACAAAGTAAAAAGATTTTTTAAATTTCTATAGGTAGGTTAGCAATTTTCAAAATCTGGTGCTTATGTAAGTATAGGTAAATGTTTATTGTGTTTAGGTAGTATTTTGTTGCTATAAATTTAGCCTAATTTAAATGGCGTTGCGGGTTTTGGTTGTCATTATGGTCAGATAGTTCTATTATCGAAAACACGTTTACGTAACAGCGAGATAATACCGAGTCTCTCCTGCAATTGCTAATAACAATCAATTTACATAGGTAATGGGTGTATCGTTAACTGAATAGTTAATCTATAGTTGTTACACCCCGAGTGTATCAATAGTTCGATTGTGCGTAACCCAATAGACACAATAGTGAACAATGCTACCACACATGCAATTGTATGCATTGTTGGTCGCGCCATCTATCTATAACAATGAAGGGAAATGACAACCTGCTGCAGGAAATGGCACAGCAGGCAAATCAAAATATCGACGTACCAACGTATCCAGTTTGATAGTTTACGTTACGAAATAAAAATGATTTTGTCGCGGAGCAAATTTGTTTTGTTGCGACATCAGGGGTGAATTTGGGGCTTCAGCAATTATAAAATTAAATCGTTTCTTTGCAATCTGCGGCGAGATTTAATCTGTAGCGTTTGATCTGTCGTTTCGGCGATTACCTGAAAGGTTTCCGATTTGTCCCCAGAAATTGAAACTCCAAGTTTTAATTTACTAGAAGGGATTAATTGTCGGTTCCAGACGATGTTTTCATGGTTGCGATCGATTTATGTGTCGAGGGAAATTTGCACAAAAAGCCCATTTTATGCCAACAATAAAATTCTTGCGAGTTTAATATCTTAATGAAAAGCCATTATGTTTTATTGTAGCAGGGATTGTGTGTCGTGTTATACAAACAACGCGTTAAATATCTGATCAAGAGGACATATTTGCCCACTGATTAGACGAGATATGATAAATTTATGACTGATTTTTACGACCGGATACATTTATGCAATTAAGATACTCACTGACCATCTTTCTTGGTATCCTTTAAGCCAATTCTTCCATTCAGAGACAGAAAAAGATAAATATTTGTATAAATTATGTCGCGTGACCCCAATGCTAACTTTATGGTCTTAAAAACTCCCGACTAAGTCTTAATTAATTTGAGCAGTGCGTGCTCGCTTCGCATTCAGACGGATGAATAAATTTAAATCTTCAACTATGTTTTCAGCCATTATGAATATAAATGGCGTTTGGATTATATAAATCAGATTTAGCATAAGGTTTTGCATTATCACTCATACTGGAATAGACCAGATTACTGCCCGGAACCTAACCCTTAATCTGAAGTTACTACTGAAAAACTTTGTTTTAAAAAAAATTATGCACAATATAGGAAATGAAAGCTCTGTCCCTGAAGAGATGTAATCAGAGTAATGCATTGCTAAGTAATAAAAGTATAATTGAAGAGGTTTATCTAGTCTATGCAAATGTTACGGCCTCTTTGCCACATACAATGTAGCAAAAGATAGCCTCCAGAGATTTGAAGCTGCTATAATTACATGGCATCATATTCAACTACATATGTACTTACTTTTAAAAAAATTAACTGTAATTCTTTTTGTAATATATTTTCCTCAAAAAATTTCAACCATTCAGGTACGAGTATCACCGATTATCATCGAGTTTCCTGCACTAGTGCAATACTTGCGAGTAAATACCCAAAAATGCCTCACTTAACTTATTTATTAAATTAATTAATTAATTAATAATAATTATTATTAATAATTAAAATTTCAATATTTTGGAAACTCTGAGCCAACAATAAATTAATAGAAATACATAGAGTAAATGTAAAAGTTTATTAAAAATTGGAGTAAAAAGACTATTAATAACTTTTACAGAAAAATATTTGCTAGTTTAACATATTCATTTAAATTGCCATAATTATTGTTCATTTACTAAATGGTGTTGGAGAGGTAGGTATATAAAAAACAAATTTTATAAGACCAATTTTGAAGCACGAATTCAAGTTGAAAAACGAGTGGCTATACTCACTTTATTTTACTCAAAAAATTAATTTTCTTAAACATATTTTCTAGTTACTATTATAATTTTGTGTTTATAGACAGGGAAATGCTTCCTGATATTGTGCTACACTTCTTCATGCCACAAGCATAAATAACTTACAGCTCTGTTGTTATAGAGCATATAATTTAAATAATTTAAAATGTAATAAAAAATTGTATTAAAAGACCACCCAACTGGAAATCGCGTACGTTTCTGTAAAAGCAACTAATGATCCGACTTGAAGTGATCGCTTTAAAGCTCCAGGTGTGGACCAGTTAGTTTATGTCATTTCAAATTGACACTTCTTGAAATTTTTAATACGGGGTAATATAATAGCCGGAGGCGTTTCTGACAAAGGCCTATTTTTGCGCTGCATTCAATTCTCACGTCGCGTTCTAAATTCATTACAGAGACGTATATTATGACGGTACACATTCACCATCCACCTATACCAACATAATTCTAACAGCGTGTACGTCACGCGCATTCATTTGCATGATAAATTCCCCACTAGAACTCGAAATGATAATACGATTTTAGTTCTGAAAGGTGAAAATAAATTGATTTCGCGTTTCTGGTGACATATTAATGCACGTATTAAGATTTGTGACGTGCGCCCAAGTCGACCCAGCTCGGTACTCGATCAGATTATTTATTTTTAGGCCGTTTACTCCGTGGGTCGTTTGCTGTCATAATGGGATTGTGATGAATTGGCACAACACCTCGAAATTGCGTTGTGACGTTAATAGCAGGATCATGCATTGAAAGGATTAGGTCTTGACGAGCTTCCACATATTGTTCACTAATTCGTTTATAATTTTTCACACATAATTATAATTATTTCGACTCGTTTCCGCCAGGAACAATGCAACGGCATTGACAATACTAGCACTAAAGCGCGAAAATTACTTCAATTATACAATATACAATAACGCAAAAATAAATAAATAATTACACACAATACGAGCAATGTTACCGTAAAAAATTCCAATTCATATATACATCAACAAAACCATCCTATTTTTTAAGTGACGTGACAATGCTTCTTTTATTGTCAATCAAACAAAGAGATTTAAATCAATGTTTACACAGCGTTAAACGCGCCCTGCATCCTTTTAGTAAGTTAGTTTGGCGACAAACACATTACTGGAATGTCCAATAGTGAAAACAGTGTTCATATCAAAAGACCCATGAATGCTTTCATGGTCTGGTCTAGAATAAGACGTAAACATATCTCAAACGATTATCCACGTCTTCACAACTCAGAAATTTCCAAACTTCTGGGTGCAGAATGGAAAGTTTTACCTGAAGCTGAAAAACGACCATTTATAGATGAAGCCAAAAGACTCAGAAATCAACACATGATCGACCATCCTGATTACAAATACAGACCAAGACGCAAACCTAAATTAGAACCAAAAGATAGCAGATTTTTTGCACAAACTTTTCCGGCTGTCGATCCTTTGCAAAAAGCTTTCAGTAAAGCTTTTTACACACAAAACATTTCAAATGGTAAGAATAATGCATCATTTGATTAAATATAAATTTTAGGTATTGTAATTTTAGAATATGAGGCACTTTCCAGTCCTGGTATGGGGGACCAGAAAATAAATGTCTGTTTTAGAAACATAGGAAATGATTTTGAGTCGAATTATCAAGCACCTGTTGGTTTGCCACCTGAACCCATTATGCGTTTGCCTTATTCCACATGCGATTATACAGGGAGGCTCCAAGAAATCGAAAAAGTGAATTTTCAGACTTTGCCACCTTATACGTCTTTGGCTGGTGGTGTCCACCAGCGAGCTTTGCTCCGGGCTGCATCAATTTACGCTTATCACGATTTGGCTGGAAATTCTCTTCCTGTTTATTTCCCGTCTCTGTAACAGTTTTTTTTCTAAATATGATTAGAGCAGCACGGTGATAATTAGTTCGATTATTTTCCGAATGTAAACTGGGGTTGAGCTGGAAACAATGGTAGAAAAATGTCAGGCGTCTGAACACAGCTTTAATTAACAAAACCTATTATACATCGCGATAATTAAAAAAGTCACCGGCAGACGTAAACAAGAGTATTGTGATCGGTTTATCTTGTCTAGATGGGTATTATATGGGGTGTCACGTGTCTGTCGGGGCGTGATAAGAAAATTCCCCGGAGACTGTTCCTGCTGCATATTAAACCTATTTGGAGGGAATCGATCGCCACCTAGGTGTGGAAGGTTGCATTAACGCGAATCGATGCGAAAGATTTGACGGTGATTGTGTGAATGCGCCTTTACCGGGGTGTATTCTTTTAGGTTGCTATATTACGTATTGCCGGCGTATAAAACTGACAACTAAGTTATTAACTAGAATATATGCAACAATGCAATTCTGTAATGAATACCGTGTATTCACCGTGCACCTGCGATACTCTAAATTGGTAATTAGCGAGTGAAGTCGGTGTGAAATCCGCCGCAGTTCTCACAGTCGAATGGACAATAATATAATCACGATGTGGATGGGGACGACGACGGTGATGCTAAGCATGCGACAGAGTTTTGCCAAATATTTATATAAAAAACGATAATTGTAAATTATAAGTAGAATAAAAAATTATGTATGTGTAAATTGTAAATACATATGTGTTAAATACAAGTAACGCAATTCCGTGTCCTCATTGATCAGTTATCCGAAAAATCCGAAAAGCTTTGTGTTCTTACCTACTCTCTATTTTGCACATACACATATACAGAATTGTCCGGAAAGTCGCGCACCTCCGTGACACTGTCTCATCGGACGGTGCTCTAAAAATGTTTTAAAAAATCTATCTATAAAAATTTTGAGGTTATGGGAGTTTAAATTTTGCACTTTGACTCAATTTATTTCTGTTGGAAAAATAATTTTCCAAATTTTCTAAGTACAGGGCTATTAGAAGAGGAAACAAAAAAGCTAAATAAAATAAATATCAAAATTTTTTGACAGATAGAATTTTTTAAACATTTTGTAGCTGGGGGACTATCCAATTACTCCCTTTCAAGGAGGTGCGCGAGTTTCGGACAGCCTGTATTTCTAACAAAGAAAAAAATATCGGTGTTTTAGTTTTAATGTAGATTTAAATTATACATTTTTCGAGTTTTTTATAGGTAGGTAGTAGTAAAATTATTGCGGTAGGTAGGTTGTCCATAGTACTATAGGAGGTTTGTTTAAACAAATTTTAATACAATTTTTTTTTAATTATAATTTTTTTATGTTCATACAGGGTGCTTCATGTAATTTTACGGCTCCTGTACCTAACAGACGCATTTCCAAAATACCACAGTTATATACGAAAGATCCTTTTCTAATCAGAAAACAAACAACTGAAATGAAAAAAAGTATTAAAGCCGTATCTACTATCACGCGTCTCACAAATTAAAAAATAAAAAAAATTGTTATACAGTATGTCTCCGGATTGAGTTTACAAGAGGAGAAAAAAAATCTTTGATTTTACGCCATAAGTGCAAAGTAAAAACATTTTTTGCTTTACCTGAAACGAGCAAATATGTAATTAAAACTTCTTCATTCTACCTCAGTAGAAAAAAATAGTTATTTATTATACAAGACGATAAAGAAATTGTTTATTTACGAGTGAAAAAGTTAAGTTTACGAGTGACGAAGTCACGAGTGGACTTTCTTTACGAGTAGTACAATTTTTATCGTCGTGTATATTTCGTTTTATAAAAGCACTCTTTAACATTGAGTACAAAATAAAATTCATTTTTTCCTTGATTTTGGACTTGACAAAGTAACATATACAAACATATAAAACCGCCAATCTTGTAGGTTATAGGACTTAAAAAGCAGAGAAAAATTATTCTAAATCCAAAATCAAGAAAAAAAAACTTTTCTTTTTACTGAATCAGAATAATGAATGCTCGTTTCAGATGAAGCAAAAATGTTTTTTTTGCAGTTTTAGCGTAAAATCAAAGATAATTTTTTTTTCTTTCTGTAAACTCAATCCGGGGACATACTGTATATAATTGAGTTAACTTTTCAAATGAAGGCATAAAAAGTTTTGTACTGACCATCTAAAAACCGAAAAAATGGCAAAGTTTACCTACATAAACAATTTTTGTGCAGCAGTTGATATTAATTTATTGCTCTAAAGCCTATAGTATCTTATTATTTTGAGGAAATACATATAAAGAATTCGGGTAAACATAGTAAACATTACGTAACAGGAAATAAAGACTTCAGAAATGGAGAGAGCTAAAATTATGAAATTAAATTTGAAGGACCTGCTTCTACTGTCACCGAATAAGATCAAAAACATGCCTCTGCTTTTAATAATGAGGAGAAGTGAGTTATGAATTATGATGTCCCAACAAAGCAAATTACTCAAGCAAAAATCAATAGATTGGTAAAATTGAGTTATCGGTTTAAAGGAAGAGTCCTTGTCGAATTTCTGGCGGACACTTGTAGTGACATAACGACAATACCATCGATGACAGATTCGTCCACCCATTAAAATCGGTCCATAATACACAATGAAAAACCGTCTCCAAGCACTTACTGTTAAACATATATTAAATTCCATATCGCATTTAATATCAAAGGATCTAAACAAGATATTTCATATATGAGTTTCAGAAAGAGAGAGAATCGTTTGTGATTGTGCGAGAACCGTGGCCAATCCAGGAAGGGAAAATGCTTTCCGCCACAATAATTGTTTTATTCGCTTACAAAGCAACGAGTCTGCGAGCTGTTTTCAACCCCCCTAGCGCGCAAGGACCAACATCCGATCTCCTTTCGCTCAGGTGTTCGTAATGCGGCGACAAAACACTGAAAATGTCAAACTTCATTTTCAACGGCCTCGTTAAATACGGAATTCGGGCGGAAAAAATTCGATAAGGGTAAGAGTGTCGGATTATGACGAGGCATCGCAAGTCGGGGGCGCTCAAAGGACTTCCCGGATAACTAGAAATAATGAGTACCAAGCAAACAGAAAGAAATTTTGTGCATTAAATAACTAAAAGTTTTTCAAAAAAAAGTTGTTTTGGATCTTCTTGATTTTTTTTTATTTAACAAAATTAGGGTGGGTTTATATAAACCGACCGAATTAAATATTTGATTGCAATTGAATCTAATTCGTTACGTGGTTGGTTCAATTTTGATGAATAACCACTCAGATTTCAGAATTTTTGAGTTATTCGCGATTGACTTATTTTTGATTTAATTCACTTTCTTTAAATCCACCCCTAAACTTACAATGAATGAAACGTTTCGGCAGTATGTGTCATTATCAGCTCCAAACCACAAAACATTACATTAAAATATTCACAATTTAAAACAATCCTATCTATTTTAAATTGTAAATCTCACAATTAAACATAAAAGGTAAGGAAAAGATGGGGACAAAGAGTAAGCTGAGATTCCTCAGGTCAAAATAATAAAGCGCCGCCTGTGTTAGGTATACTTATTACAGATTTACAATTGCAATTAAACAATTAAATTACACACAATCGCATTAAAACATTATATTAAATAAAAACATTTACAATTTAAAGCTAAATGTAGAAAACACTTTTTAAAAGTTCTTTAAGTTAAGTAACACAACAGTGGAAATTAATCAAACAAATTCTTAAAGTTTAAACCAGGTGTATTATCAGTTAAGTGTGCTATATCTTTTTTAAATTGGTAAGTTATTGGAATTAAATAATATGTAATTAAAAAAGAATATTTGCGTAAGATTTAATGTATACATTATACATATTTATACATTATATTTTTTTAAATTCTGGTGACTGTTTTTATGAGCCGTTACTAAAAATTATGATAAGGATAAAGGATGGAATTGATGCGAAATTATGTAATAAGTTTACACAAATCCGTTGTTAAAATCCTTATTGGAAATATGAATACATGTAGACCGTGTGGCCTAATGGATAAGGCGTCGGACTTCGGATCCGAAGATTGCAGGTTCGAGTCCTGTCACGGTCGGGTTCTTGTTTTGTCGTTTTTTTTTACCAAAGGATAGAAAAATATAACAATGTGTTTTTTCAATATTTAATTTGTGTCTTATTTTATTATCACAAAAAATTATTTAAATTTTTATGGAATAACGCATATTTTATTATTTAAACTTGTAGCGACCTCTGCCGGATGATAGTACCACTAATCAGAAACTTTGAATTGGAGAGGATTTAGAAACATTTTATTTTTAATGGAATGTTTAAAGTTTTAAGTTATATTGTTGTTGCAGTATTAATAAATTAATTTTAGCAATAAGCAAAAGTTTAATATTTTTATAAGTAAATATTTTTTACAGAAAGCTGCTTTGTTATAGTGTCACCTGGACACTGTAAATGAATTCTGGATTAGATTATATGCTGCCGCTACTCGCTAACAGGCGGCGCCACAAATATTGATTTTGGAATAATATTCTTAAGGAAACAGTTACGGAATTAAAATTTCGGGCAGTATTTTTCTGTCACTTCAAAAAGTTCACTGTAAACTACCTTTTACTGTCATCATGACTGACATTTGACAATTAAACTTGTCTGTCAGTGACGCTATTTTTTAAGTCAAAATGACATAAACATGACAAGAGTAAAAAATGAGGTTATTAATGTAAAGGTTGTTTTAGCGTTTACATTATGAAAATGACAATACTACCCGAAATTTTAATTCCGCAACTGTACGCGGGTGGTGTTTTAAATTTTGAATTTGTTTATTGAATTACTTTCCAAAATAGATATAGATCTTCAAAAGTGCAAGCCTAATACTAATTTGTTGTTAATTTAAGAAGATAATTTTTTATCCTATTTTAAGAAACATTAAAACGGGCGTTTATGATACTCGTTTTAAGAAATAAGTAAAATAAAGAAAAAAAAAACGTAAAACGTGAAAAAAAACTTTGTTAATA